AAAGCAATTGCCCCATCCACTGGAAACCCTCTTACCCTCTCCACCTGAGGGATTTTTCATTCAGCTGAGGGCTACAACCTGAGGCTCATTAAGTAACTGGGACTAATAGCCTATAGTCAAAAGCTATAGGATAACTGAGTTTTTGCTTGACCTGCAAATCTACCCAGGAAAATAAGACTAGACATTAGTGTTTAATGTGGGGCCTACCACACTAAACCAAAACTGACTGAAGCAGCCACAATCAGCAGAACACCATACCCACAGGGGAAATTTGGCAGGCTCCAAAACCCACTGAGACAGCCAAAATGGTGAAACAAAGAAACAAATCTCAAATGAAAGAACAAGAGAATTCTACAGAAGAAGAGATACATAAAATGGAATTAAGCAACTTATCAGAGGTAGAATTCAGAATAATGATTATGAGGAAGCTCAACAACATGAGTAAAAATATAGAAACAATGAAAACCACCAAGCAGAAATAAAGAATGACATAGCAGAAATAAAAACACATTGGAAGGAATAACCAGCAGATTAGAGGAAGCTGAGGATTGGATCAGTGAATTAGAAGACAGGGTAGAAAAAAATCACCCAATCAGAGAACCAAAAAGAAGAACAATTAAAAAACAGGAGGAAAGTTTAAGAGAATTGTGGGACAATATGAAACATAACAACATCCACATCATAGGAGTTCCAGAAGAAGAAGAAAATTAGCAAGGATTAGAGAATATATTTGAAGAAATTGTGACAGAAAATTTCCCTAACTTGGTGAGGGATAAAGGCATACAAGTTCAAGAAGCACAGAGCGCCTCAAGTAAGAAGAACCCAAAGAGGCCCACACCAAGACACATCATAATTAAAATACCAAAAATTAAAGACAAAGAGAGAATCTTAAAGGCAGCAAGAGATAAGCAACAGGTAATGTACAAAGGAGCCCCCATAAGGCTATCAGCTGATTTCTCAACAGAAACACTGCAGGTCAGAAGAGAATGGCATGAAGTATTCAAAGTAATGAAAAACAGGGATCTGAATCCAAAACTACTCTATATATGAGTCATGCTTTCTTATCCCTTCAGCTACTCTGTCTTTTGATTGGTGCATTTAATCCATTTACATTTAAGGATATTATCGATATGTACTTATTTACTGCTATTTTAATTTATTATGGTTACATTTCTCTCCCTATTTCTTCTGCTTATTACAGCATTCCTTTTAACATATCTTGCAGTGCTGGGTTTGGTGCTAATATATTCCTTAGCCTTTTTTTTTTTTTTTTTTGGTCTAGGAAGCTCTTTATTTCACCTTCTACTTTGAATGATAGACTTGCTGGATAGAGTAGTTTTGGATTCAGACCAGGAGGTCGCTGGTTCGATTCTTGGTCAGGGCACATGCCCAGGTTGTGGGCCCAATCCGTGGGGGGGGGGGGGGGAGAGCATGATACACCAGATAAAATGGATTTAATAGATATCTACGGAGAATTACATCCCAAAACTGCAGAATTTACATTCTTCTCAAGTGCACATGGGACATTCTCAAAGATAGACCACATGTTAGGACACAAACTAAGTCTCTACAAGTTCAAGAAGATTGAAATCATATCAAGCATCTTCTCAGATCACAATGGCATGAAACTGGAAATTAATTACAATAAAAACACTCAAAAACATTCAAACACATGAAGGCTAAATAGCATGTTAAACTATGAATGAGTTACCAAGGAGATCAAGGAAGAAATGAAAAAATTCCTGGAAATCAATGAAAATGAACACACAACAACACAAAATCTATGGGATGCAGAGAAAACAGTTCTGAGAGGGAAGTTCATAGCACTACAGGCCTACCTCAGGAAACAAGAAAAATCTCTAATTGACTATCTAACCCTACAACTTAAAGAACTAGAAAGTAAACAAAAAGAAAAACCCAGAGCAAGGAGAAGGAAAGAAATAGTAAAGGTAAGAGCAGAAATAAATGACATAGAGACTAGAAAAAAAAACAATTCAAAAGATAAATGAAACAAAGAGCTGGTTCTTTGAAAAGATAAACAAGATCAATGAACCCTTAGCCAGACACCAAAAAAACAGAGAGAGAGGACCCAAATAAACAAAACCAGAAACAAAAGGAGAAAATAACAACTGACACCACAGAAAGGCAAAGGATTGTTAAAAAATATCATGAACAGCCTTGGCCGGTTTGGCTCAACAGTTAGAGCGTTGGCCCACAGACCAAAGGGTCATGGGTTCAATTCCAGTCAAGGGCACATACCTCAGTTGCAGTTCGATCCTGGGCCCTGGTTAGGATTGTACGGGCGGCAACCAGTCAATGTGTCTTTCTCACGTCCATGGTCCTCTCTCTCTGTCTCCCTCCTTCCCACTCTATCTGAAGATAAATGGAAAAATATCCTCTGGTGAGGATTTAAACATAAAAGCTGTGGTACATGTACACAATAGAATACTATGCAGCTCTTAGAAAGAGAGCTCTTACCCTTTGAGATGACATGAAGGGACCTGGAGAGTATTATGCTAAGCAATATAAGCCAGTCAGAAAAAGACAAATGCCACATTATCTCACTTATTTGTGGAACATAATGAACAAGATAAGCTGTCGACCAAAAGAGATCCAGAGTCATGGAAGTAGGGAACAGACTGACAAACCTCAGAGGGATGGGGGGTGCGAGGGGTGGGAGAGATAAACCAAAGAACTTATATGCATATATGCACAACCAATCGACGGGGACACTAGGCTGGGGAAGGCAGGAGGGGAGTGGGAGCAGGAAGGAGGGGGTCAAGGGGGGAAAAGGGGGACATCTGTAATACTTTCAACAATAAAAAAAAAAAGAGCTGGAGTCCTACATGCCTGTCCCACAGACCAACAAAGGAGAGGAGGTGACAAAAGAGAGAGAGGGGAGAGGTGACAAAGAAGAGGGTATAAAGGAAAAGAGAAGATAACTGAGAAAGAAGAGGAGGGAAGATTGGGGTGAGAAAGGAGGGAGGGGAACGGGTGGAAGTCACAGTGCTGGGCAGCAGGAAACAAACAGGCCAAGTGGGCTTCTTAGCCCCTGGGTGGGCAGCAGGTAAGGCCTGCCCCCTGCCCCCACCTCCACCACATCGATCACCAGGCACATGAGCGGGACCACTACCTCGCTGGAGGGAGGAACGGGCTGAGGAAACATGGAGGCCTCTGTCTTCTCAAAGATGGTGACCTGGTTCCTGCCTCCTTCTCCGCCCCAGCCCGACCCCGGCACAACTCATGCTCGGTACATGTTTGATGAATGACTGATTGAAAAACTATAGAGCAACAGGGATACAGACAGGACACACGTGCCCACTTCTACCAACGCATAAACAAGGTCATTGGAAGCATGATGTGGGCTTTTTCTCCCAAAGGTGAAATAAGGAAAGATGTGAAATCTCGTGTGTTTGGGGGGGATGTTCAGGCTGCTCCATGGAGAGGGGTCTCCTGATGCTGAAAGGCACCAGGAGCAAGCTCTGTCCCCGCGGAGCCCAGGGCCTCCAAGATTCAGCGGGATCCTGGCCAACTTGGCAACTGCCGAGCATGCTCTTCCCTGTTCCCAGTGGCACCGGGCCCAGAGCAGGTGCCGGGACGAGGGCCGGGGAGTTCCTCAGCACCGCTGCAAGTGGGTCAGAGGTGGACGCACCTCAGGGCAGACACTGGTCAGAGTGCCCTGAAGAGGCCCTCAGCCACCTCGCACGACCCCTCTCCACCCGGACTCTGGCCTCACCACCCCTCCTCATGTGGGCACTGCTCCAGACCCCCACCCTGCTGCCCTGGGCCCTGGCACCTGCCTCCAGCTGCTGCACCATTTCATCCGGCGAAATCTCTCTGAAATAACCACCTGACCATGTCACCATCCAAGATTTCCCCATGATCAGCTCACAGCTTGACTGCTTCTCCCCTGCTCAAAACCCTTCCATGGCCCCCCTCTACCCTGAGGATAATATCTGGTCTCCCCACCATGGTCCTCCAGGATCTGTGCGATTCAGGCCCGGCCCATCTCTCAGCTCACACCATCTCCTGGCGCCCACATGCTCTCAGCACCCCAGCCACCCTGCACTTCTCACTGGTCCTGCAAGGCCCCCCTCTCCTGCTGAGATGCTGTGCCCTCCGCCTTGAGCATGTGTGTTCCTCCTGACCTGCGTGACGCCCACTCATTCTGCAGGATCTGTCCTGACTCCTGACCTGAGGCAGGTGCCTCCACCACCGCACCCGCCCTGACAACGACCCAGGAGCTTCTTCCACCCAATAAACCGCGACCACATCAATACCTATTTGTTATACCCACAAAGGGAAGGAAGGGGTGAATGGCCCGTGGTCAGTCATCACAACATCAAGCCCAGTCCCGGGGCCCCAGCCAGGAGCCTGTCGCCCCCCCACATCAGTGTGTGCCTACGGGGCTGGGAAGCTGCTTCATCTGAGCCCCACAACACCCTGGCAGGGATGATGTCTTCCCCATGTGATGAATGAGGAGCCAGGCCCAGAGGCAGGGAGGACTCGCGCAGAGCCCCGGGGAGCCCAGGGCCTCCAAGATTCAGCGGGATCCTGGCCAACTTGGCAACTGCCGAGCATGCTCTTCCCTGCTCCCAGTGGCAGGGGGCCCAGAGCAGGTGCCCGGACGAGGACAGGGGAGTTCCTCAGCACCGCTGCAGGTGGGTCAGAGGTGGACGCACCTCAGGGCAGACACTGGCCTGAAGAGGCCCTCAGCCACCTCACACGACCCCTCTCCACCCGGACTCTGGCCTCACCACCCCTCCTCATGTGGGCACTGCTCCAGGCCCCCCTTTCCTGACCTCCAGAGTCTCTTTGTTCAAAGTCCCTCCTTCCTCTGTAGCTCCCGCCCCCAGGGTCCCCAGAGGGCACAGCCCAGGCTCCTCAGTCTGGCCCCTCAGCCCTGACATTCCAGTCCCACCCCCCACACTGGCCCCAGGCGGGATGGGGCTGCACTGAGGGTGAGGGGGCAGAGAATATGGGAGGCACACGCTCTGGCTTCTTTATTAAGCAAAGTCTTAGAGACTCTGTAAGGCACGGAGTCTAGGAGAGAGGCGGGCACCCCGGGATGTGGTCAGGAATACCAACGCCTCGGTGCTGGGCACCCATCAGAGTGAGTATCCCCGCTCTCTGGGGGGCTCTAAGCATTTCTCTCCTCAGGTCCCTCTCCTGGGGAGCCTGGGGACAAAGGGCCCTCCCCCCCCAACCCCCCCCCAGAAGGTGAGTGTGGGTGACAGGGGACAAGGGGAAGGAAGAGGAAGTCCTGTGGTCCGGGGGCAGCAGAAAGGGGCTCAGGCATGAGCCTGACGCTGCTGGTCCCTGGAGGCACTAAAAATAAGGCGCCCAGCTCAGGGGCAAGTGCTGGAGGCAGGGCGGGGGGCAGCCTGGCTGACTGTCACTGCACCCCGAGGCACCAGGTGGGCAGGCTGCAGGGGGCTGTCTCAGCTGAAGTCACGGTTGGGCAGGAGGAGGGGGGCTACCAGGGTCCACAGGTAGAGAAGCAGCCCAGCCCAGCTGGCACAGATCTTCACCCACACGGCGGTCCAGGTGCTGATCATCTTCCCGGCCTCGCTGGGTCTGGAACACACCAGCATCCCCGTGAGCCCGCCCCCGTCGTGACTTCAGGCCTGGCTCTGATCTTATGACCCCGCTCTGACCCCTCTTCAACTTCGACTCTTATTCTGTAACTAGTCCCCATCTCTGGTGTTTCTGACCCTTGGCCTTAGACTTAACTCTTGACCTTGTACCACAGAGCTGATCTTGACTTCAGTTAGTCTTGACCTCAGTCCTAGACTAATATTGTGACCTAACTCCTGGTCCCTGACTTGAACCCTGGAGCTCCAGACCTCAGTCCTGACCTCTAACCTTGACTCTGATCCTCAGTCCTACAACCCCATCCCTGACTCCTGATTTTATGACCACAGTTTCAATAGCTGACCTCAATTCTCACCCTTAATCTTGTAACCCCTTGACCCGGCAATTTGAATCCTGGTTTTATGGCCTCCTAACCCCAATTTTAATCAGATGATCAAATTTGTGACTTTATATGGCCCCAATCCCAACTCTTGACTTCATGAGTCCCACTCTTAACCCTGTGACTTTGATTCTGACCTCCACACCCTAATCCTGCCCCTCCAACCATGAGTCCCACATCTGATCCCATAACCCAAACCACCACGCCTGATCTGCAAACCCAGTCTGCCCTGCCCAGGCCCAGCCCCACCTCCTGTGAACCCCTCTTTTCAGGCACTTAGTGAAGGTACCAGGGGCTGAGCAGTCTAAGGTACTGGTAGGGAAACAGGGCCACAGATGGGGTAGGCCCCTTGGAGGGTCCTGGGTAGACACCTCCACGCCCAAGCCTTGAACAGATTTCCTAAACCCCGGTGAGGGCCAGAGGAGAGATGTGTGGCGTACCCCAGGAACTGTGGGCCCCGGCCACGCCCAGCCAAGCTGCACGCACCTGTACCAGTTGGTGAGCGTCATCATGACGTGTAGGGAGGCGAGCATCAAGCAAAAGTGGAAGAAGGAGTAGCTATAGGTGACACCATCCTGCTCATTGTCAAAGGCCTGGCCTGCCACCTGCTCCTGCTGCGTGGCCTCCAGCACGGGTGGGCACTCCTCAGTCCGCATCAGACTGTTCACCTGCCGGTGGTTCGAGGAGCGCACACTGCAGGGAGGGAGGAGGGGCAGTCAGGCCTGTAGCCACCGAGATGGGCAGGTGCTCAGTGCCAGGGGGCCTCATGAGCCGTGGCACTGGTCATAGCAACAGTGGGCACGATGGTCCCAGAGCCTTGAGGGCAGTGACCTGGTGGTTAGGTCCTGGGCCCAGGAGTTAACAAACTGCTTTGACTCAGTTCTACCCCCACTCCCCGTATGAACTTCGGCAAGGCACTTAACCTCTCTGAGCCTCTGATTCCTGTCTATAAAACCAGGGACAACAGTGCCTTCCTTCCAGGGTTGCTGGGAGGACTGAATGGAATAATGACAAAGTCCCCAGCACTGTGCCTGGTACACAGTATAAATACATAAACCACACTATTGTCCTGGTTGTTTGGCTGCCATTTCCCTTAACATGTTGAGGGAATTCTGTTGAGTACCTAGCACCACAAAGCTCAATAGCAGGTACTGCATTTATTAATAATGTTAATAATTAACAATACTCATTTGCTATTCGGTTTGTTTTCCTCTTATTAGCTTTAGGTAAGTAGTTTTACCAATTACCTCCCTTTTCTTCATGTTTATCATTTTAAAAATAATAGTAATGACCTTTTGGTCATTGTTTTTCTATAATGAGGTCTTGATGTTTTTAAAAGTAACAGTATGAGACCATAGACAATTTTGAAAATCGAACTTGTATTTTGAAAAAAAAGGAAAAGGAGATCTGGATTCTAGCTCCACCCCCATCAAATTGAGGTGCCCCTTTGCCGAGCTGCTGCTGACCCCACTCACCAAAACACTGCGTACACATGAGCCCACACCTGGGCCATCAGCTGGGGCGAAAGCCATCCTCATGGCCCCTGCCTCCTGGCTGCTTATGCTTCTCTGCTTCCTGGATTTTAAAAGCTAAGAACACACAGCCCCCTGGGCTCTCAGAGGTGCTGCAGTGAGAAGCACTAGGAAGCCTCAGACAAGAGCTGCTCAACATTAGGTCCAGTGTCCTCCAAAACGGAGGTGATTCGGGTCTCTCCAAATTGGAAAAGAAATCAAATGCAGTAACGGAGACGAGAGGTGTTTGTAAACTGCCCAGACTAGACTTGGAGAAAGTGTTTTGAAAAAGGCCCAAACAAACAAAATGTGGACCAGCTTCAGAAAGTCCTAGCTCGGGGCCTGGAGGCAGGTGTGGGCCTTCTGCAGGAGCTTGGCGGAGGTTCCCTCCAGGGAGCAAAGAGAAGACAAAGAAAGTGGCGCCTGGAGAAATGCAGGGCCACTGAGATGCCAGATTCCGTATAAACAAAATCATACTTGATGCCCAGTCGGTGTGGCTCAGTGGATTGAGCCCCATGCACCAGGAGGTCGCTGGTTTAATTCCTGGTCAGGACACATGCCTGGGTTGTGAGCTCAATCTCCAGTAGGGGGCGTGCAGGAGGCACCCAATCATGTCTCTCTCACATGGATGTTTCTATCTGTCTCTCCCTCTCCTTTCCTCTCTCTGAAATCAATAAAAACATATTTTTAAAAAATTATACTTGAGCTTACCATCTAGGGACACTTGCCAAATAGCCACTCACAGCCACCCAGCTGTGCAAATGTTCAGTTATTTGCAATAATAACAAACATTTCTTTGGCGTCTACTACCTGCCAAGTTCTTTTCTAAGTGCCTCATACATATTAGCTCACCTAAAACCCTACAACAATCCAGTAAGGTAGGTACTGTTCGTATCCCTACTTTCCAGATAAGGAAACTGAGGCAGAGAAAGGTTGAGTGACTTTTCCAAGACCACACTGCAAGTAAGGGGCAGGGGTCGAGCACAGGCAGTCTGGCTCCAGAGTTCATACTGATAAGAACTGGCTGAGATGCCCCTTTAAAAAAAGTTGTCATGTGATCTTAAGTATGAGCCGCTCCCTCTCAGGTAAGATTGTGGGGTCCCGGCCATCCTGGGCGTTACCATCCTCCTTTTCCTGAGGGGGAAACTGAAGCTCGGAAAGGTGAAGCCACTTACCCCAAGGCCAGCAGGTGAGTGACAGAGCCTGGGCCCGCTGGCCCCAGTCCAGGCTCTTTCCCTGACACCACAGTTGCCTGCAACCAACTAAGCTGGCACGTAGCAGCCCAGTGCGCAGGAAAGGGCCCTGCGTGGCTGCCAGCCACACCGTGCCCTCTGAGGAACTCAGTGTCCCCACCAGCACAAAGCAAGGGCTGGACATACGGCTTCCAGCCTGGTGTCTCCATTCCCACATCCTCACCTCACTTCTGGCTCTGGGTCCCCAACCATGACCCCTCTCCAGAAACTGGGCCCCTGCCATACCTGATGAATAAGGTGCACAGGATGAAGACGACGAGGCCCACGATGCTTGGCACATCCCACCACTGCGTCATATAGCCCTCAGGGCCTGCCAGGACCGTCTCATTGTCCAAGTGGTTCAGCAGGTGGGGGTTGCATTTCTGGTCTGTGGAATAGGAGCACGTTTACCCTCAGCCCTTGCAGGCCAGGTCTGAGAAGCCAGCTAGCCCTGAGGATGGGCAGAGAGCCAACCCAAATGGACAGACAGACACGCAAACATCATCCAAGCCCCAGCGACAGAGAGCACTTAGCAGACAAAACAAGAGACAGCTCCAGGAACAGATGGAGTCCTCCCACTTCACTGAAAGACTAAGCCTCAGGATGGGCTGGGTTGGGATGTCCCTGTCACCTGTGAGGGTCTCCAGCGCCCCACGGGGCCATTGCTAGCCCAAGAACAAGACCAGGCCCCCTCGAACCCAGGCCTGTACTCACCGGGGACATTGGACAGAGCCAGCCAGGTGACGAACATGGTGTAGAGCGTGATGGCCGAGGCCTGCAGCAGGCCCGAGTTGGGCTGGGCATCCTGGTAGGAGCAGTCCATCAGTATGAGCCCTGCCAGACCCGGGACACCCCAGCCCCACGCAGCCCACTCACACCCGAGGAGGGAACCGCAGAAACCCTCACCACCCTAGGGCCATCCACCCCACACTCTCTGGGAAAACACACCACCCAGGCCACCCACTGCCCACCTAGCCCACCCACAGGTGGAGTCTTAATTCTTTCTCCTAAGATTTCCCCCTTGCTCCCCCGCTAAGAACCCTTCAAGGGTGGAACCCCTGCCCACTCTGAATTAAAGCGCTCCCTGGTTTGTGGCACCTCCATCTCCACCTGACCACCCCCCATGCTCCAGCCACAGTGGTCTCCCCGCTGCCAGCGGAATGCGCTAAGCCCTCTCCCACCTCAGGACCTTGGTACTCGCGGTGCCCTCCTGGCCAGCTCCTTCCTGCATCTGCACGAGCAGCCCCTCTTTAGCCTTCAGGCCTCAACTCAAACAAGACCCCCGGCCAGGCCCGGACAACCCCGCCTGCAGCAGCCCTGGCCCTGCTGACCTTTAACCCACGGCCCTTACTCCCCTCGCAGCACGCATCCGAACCACCACACTCCGCCGGTCTGCCGATGGTTCTCTCCCCCCTTTGCCACACACACTGGGAAACATGTATCTAAACTCTGCAATTCACAGTCTGCCTGGCTTCAGGTCCCAGCTTCACCCCTTCCAACCGTGGGACCCTCGGCAAGTCTCTTTCCTCCTCTCAGCCTCTGTTTCCTCATCTGTAAAGTGGGGACGATGATGGTGCAAGGACTAAATGACATGACAGATGCCATTAACTGTTAGCCATCACGACTCTTCTTCCTGCTCTTCCTCACAGCTGTATCCCCGATATCTAGAGGGGTGCCTGGTACGCAGTAAGCGCTCAGGAGGTATTTGCTGCATGAATACTGATTGCTGTGTGACCTGGGACAGGGACATCACCCTCTCTGGGCTTCAATTTTCTCCATGGGAAATGGAGGCTCTGACCAGAGGCAAGGTTCCCAAACTTTCTGCTAAAAACCCCCAAAGACTACCTAAGCTACCTTTGGGCTGAGATCCCAAACTGGGAAGTACCACTGGACTCAGGAGGCTTTTACTCTGAAGAAAAAACAATTACTTGGGAACCCCATCCATTACCCCAGATGGTCTGGGACTAGAAACTGTGGAATTGCACCTCCTAACACCACTTCTTGAGGTGTCTAAGAACCATTGCTCAGTGACCCTCCTAACGTTCTCCCAATTTACATAAAAACAAAAATAATGATAACAAGAGCCAATGTCTGATGGATATCTGTATGCCAGGCCCTGCTCTAAGTGTTCACAAATATGATCTCAATCCTGAGAATAACTCCAAATAGTAGGTATTATTATCCCCATTTTACATTTGAGAAGAAAGAGGCACAGAGAGGTTAAGGCACTTTTCCCAAGACACCCAGCACGCAGATGTGGGAGCCCAGCCTCTCACCCAGGGAGCCCGCCCGCCTCGCCAGGGCTCCAAGGCTCCCACAGACAACCACCCACCGAGGGCCGGCTTCAGGCCGGGCAGAGACTGGCAAGCTCACCTGGACCTTGGGCAGGACGGAGATGATGGAGACGCAGACACAGAGAGTGAGGTTAAGGCTGATGAAGACCTTGCCCTCGTAGCAGCCGTCGGGCTGGGTGTAGTAGGTGAAGAGCAGGGTCGCGGCCGCGATGGACAACGAGTAGAAGAGGAGGGTGAAGAAGAAGAGGCCTGGGCAGGAGGGCAGCAAGCGGGGGGTCAGGAGGCATGGGGACCTCCACTCCCTCAAGGGGGCCTGCTGGGCAAGCCTGTGTGAGGCCTCAGCTTCATCATCTGAGGACTGATGTCAGTGTCTCCTAAACTTCCATCACCCACCACCACCTTTGCGAGTTTTTGTCCCATCCTGAACTGAAATGATTCACTGTCTATGAATAAAGTAACCATAAAAATAAATATAATGGATACAAAACCATCAATGAAAAAGTGAACTAGAGCCCTGGCCAGTTTGGGTCAGTGGTTAGAGCATCAACCTGCGGACCAAAGGGTCATGGGTTCAATTCCTGGTCAAGGGCACATACCTGGGTTGCAGGTTTGATCCCTGGCCTGGCCCGGGCGGGTGCGGGAGGCAAAGAATCAATGTGTCTCTCTCACATCGATGTTTCTCTCCCTCCCTTCCTCCCTCCCTTCCACTCTCTCTAAAAATCAATGGAAAAAATATCCTCGTGTTCGGGTGAGGATTAACAAAAAATATGAATTAGAAGTGCGGTGACCGGCCGGAGGAGAGAGCAGCAGGTTCATAGAGGTGTGAGCACTGAGCCAGCACCTCGGCAGCCTTGCTCTCTGATGCACTCAAAAGAACTGAACAAGAATCGGACAGGGACCTTTTCTGCCACTGAGGTTTCAGTGACCAAGTAAGTGTCATCTGGCGTTTGGTCCGAGCCGACTGTGCGTGGCCCATTCCGCGGGAACCGCTGAACTAGCCCCGCCGAGGCCTCTGCAGTTCCTCGCTCCTCTGACCCCTGAAGTCGCCCTGGAATTGGCTGCCCCTGCCCCACGCACTCCCCTCCCTCCGCCTGCCTCGGATGCTTCATCCCTGCACTAAGGCCAGGGCCGTCCCTGAGCTTCAAAGACCCCTCGCTGCGTCCGGCTCCCCAGCGGGCGTGTGCACTGACCTGCGTACCAGGCTCGGGACCCGCACTCCTCGGCCTTGCCCAGCCACAGCTGGTTCCAGGAGTGAGCAAAGTCGATGAGCAGCACCAGCTGGACGAGGAGGAAGAGGAAGGAGCCCACCACACCGAAGTAGAACCAGACTGGTAGGGAGAGGGCAGTGAGGCGAGCTGGTCTGGCCATAGGGCCGAGGCCTGGCGGCCAGGGCTCCCGGCCCACCAGGCCCCCCGGGGTCCCTGGCAGCACAGTCCACGGGCTCCCTCCCACACACATTCATTCAGTCAACAACCATGTGTGCGCCACATGCCCTGGGACACAGAAAAAGCCAAGCCTGCTCTCAGAGAGCCCCCAGCCACGCAGAGATGCAGCGTGGCAGGGAATGGGTCAGGGTTAGGCAGGCCCCTTCTGCCCCCACCCTACAGTTGCCCAAAGGCCATACGGCCAAGCACCAGAGCGCTGTCTCTGACTAGGAGCCAAGAACCCAGTGAGCAGGGCGAAAAGCAGCCCCACTCGTGCTCCTCCCTCGGGGGAACCCCCCCCCAAGACCACCTACTGTTGGAGAAGGAGCCATCAGGGATGTAGAAGGCGCCCACGGTGATGCCCAGCAAGATCAGGAACTTAAAGAACCAAAACCTATGGGGGTGGGGATCAGGACAGACAAGAGAGCTGAGCAGGGTTAGGAACAGGCTGGACCCCCAGAACTTCACCCCCCAAAGAGCAGGTACTGGGAGAGGTGAAAAGGGACTTTCTGATGGTCTGGTGGCACAGAAAATCTGCACTGGCCCTGGAAACAGCCCCAAGGGGCAGAGAGCAGGACCAAGTAGGGCTAAGGGAGGTCACCCAGGTTCTGGCCCCAGCTGTCACTAACCGCTGTGCGGCCTCAGCCTGTTGTGGCCCTTCCTGGGCTTTATTTCCTCATCTGAGAAACGGAAAAACTAAAGGACATCCTGCTGCACCCTCCCGGCTTCAGTGGCTCCCGAGTGCGGGGTAGGGTCTGGAGACAGGGGTTTGGGGGAGACTGTGCAGGCGGGGCCCTCCCTCACCCGTTCTGGATGGCAGCCCTCGGGTCCCGGCTGCTGCGCACGTAGATCATGAGCAGGGTGAAGAGGAAGAAAAAGGCTGCCATGGCGAAGGACATGCGGTAGACAGCGCGGTGGCCGAGCAGGGAGCTACAGTCCAGGTGGCTCTGCAGGAGGACCATCCCGTTCCCCTCGGCACACCCCCAGGGCAGCTGTGGAGACACACGGAGCAGCTAGATGACCCCACCCCACCCCAGGCCTGATTCTGCCAAGGCCTGCCAGGAGGGCGGCTCTCCCAGCAGGGGCTGGACCAGGACAGGAGCCTGAGCCGCCCACCCCCAGCCCCACTGCCACCCACATCTGGGACTGAAGTCCTAGGAGTGCTTGCCCCCAGACGGACGGTCCAGTTACGTCTGGCTACTATCTGTTACTTCCCTGCCACCACACCCACAGCCCAGGAACCATGGCACTGTCTAAAGCAGGGCTTCCACAGTGCTTCCCGTCCGCCCCCATCCCTACCAGTACGCTGAGATTCTGGGGGAGACCCAGATCCTGAGGCCCCTCCTGTGGAACTAGCATCTCGAAGGTGAGGGCTGAGCCCACATCTGCAGCACATCCCCGGGGGACTCACTCCTTTATACACAGTCAAGTGCCGCACCCACTGGCCTTGGTGTCCCACTGGGTCTATGCCGGCCATGAGACACTTAGAAGAAGGGAAGAGTTGGGACCCCAAACTGGGCTTGCACACTGAAGAGGGGAGAGCTTGCCCGGGCCAGGGTCCTAGGGGCAATAATGATTAGTATGGTTTTCCAAGGAGGCGGTGGCTTATAAGAGCCAAGAATCCCCACGTGAGGCTCAAACCCCCTTTGCACTTGAAGAGAACGCCCCGGAACACTCCTGCCCACCTCTTCTTGATCAGCTGGGGCCCCCAGCCTGGGCCCCTGGGCAGCTGAGCCTCACCGGAGGCCAGTCCCACAGGCTGCTCCCTCGGCGCACCCCCCTTCCCCCCACTCCCTGGGGCGGCTCACCTTGTGGAGTTGACTCTCCACGCCAGGACTCAGCATGATGATGGACACCAGCACCCCCAGTAAGAGGAAGAAGGTGAAGATGAGGCGGCTGACGGTGGAGTTGCGGCTGGAGGGGCAGCAGCCACACAGGATGCAGGGGGCAGAGCCACAGAGGCAGGACGCCTGCGGGAGGGCAGGGACGGCACCCTTACTCTCGGCCTCCTCTCCCCTTCCACGCCCAAGCACGAAGCACCCACCACTGCCCATTCGAACCTCCACATCTGCACTGAGCCCACCTGTACTGCCCCGGGCACGTGTGATCCCACTTAACTTCCAAGCCTGAGGGGAGGCTGAGGAAACCAAGCGGGGAAGAAGCTGAGTCACACAGGTCACACAGGGTCACACCCAGCAAGGAGAGAACCCAGATTCAAACCTGGATCTATCTCAGGCTTCGGAGAGAGAGAGAGAGCTGCATCACACTGCATCTTACTTAGGGGAAAGCAGAGTAGTAAAAAAACAAAAACAGGTTTTTAAAAACCCAGTCTAGTCCTGGCCGGTTTGGCTCAGCGGTTAGAGCATCAGCCTGCAGTCCAGAGAGACCCGGGTTCGGTTCCCGCTAAGGGCATGTACCACGGTTGCAGTTTGTCCCCGGCCCTGGTTGGGTTGTGTGGGTGGCAGCCACTCGATGTGTCCCTTTCACGTCGATGTTTCTCTCTCTCTCTCTTCCTCTCTCTCCCTCCTACTCTATCTGAACAAAAAGTGGAAAAGTATCCTCGGGTGAGGATAAAAAAAATAAATAAAAATAATTTTAAAAACCCGCTCTAGCTCCATCACTGATTAGCTGTGTGACCTTATACAACTCATTCAACCTCTCTGAACCTCAGCTTCCTCGTCTATAAAACAGGAACCAGAAGGTGCCTCCTTCTCACAGGACAGTCGTAAGAATGAAATAGATGTTTTCTGTTGTAACTTCTCGGACTCCTTTTCCCCTCCCGTTTCGTTTTCTCCATAGGGCTTACTATCATTCGTTAAGATTCATGTTTTACTTATGTTTGTCTGATTCCTATGTCTATCATGTAAGCTCTCCCAGGACAGGAATCTTTGTTTTGCTCACTGTGGTATTGCCAGACACTAGAACAGTGCCTGGCACACAGTAGGAGCTCAGTGACTATCTGTCGGAAGAATATAACGTGTCTGGTGTAGTAGCAGACACGCTAAGACCTCAGGAAACAGCGAGCGCATGACCAACACCGGCTGACTGAACGGAATGAAGAACTGTGAGTAGCTGGGATTTCCTGCAGCAGTGGTCTCTGCCTGTCCCTGTCCGGCTCCTCTGCCCAAGATGGCATCAGCCCTTTCCCAACCTGGGGCTGACTGAAATCATTGGGGGCTGGTGAAGCCACACCATTCACAGCTGGTGCCCCGAAAGGAGCCTCCCGGCTCTGGGAGCTGGGCCTACCAGCCCAGCCCTGGAGGAAACGGGCCCACTTCCAGATACATCTGGTAAACTGCTGATCTTCCCCCAAACAGCCCCACTCCTTACCCAGGTATTTAAGAGTCTAGAAAGGCTGAGGCCCCGCCTTCGTGGGGTTGCTGAGGGCAGGAAGGACACCCAGCAATCGCTGCCCGCATCTGGGCGAGAAGAAATGTGCGCACTGCCGAGTGACCAGTTTAGACTGGCGCAGTCACTTCCCTGAAGAAGTGACAACTAGCTGAGAGGAGAGCGAGGGCGCGCTCTCCTGACCAAGGGGAAGAAAGAGTGCTCCAGACGGAGGGCAGCACCGGCGGTGGCTCTGGGCGCAGGAACGGCAATGGAGGAGCAAAAAGAAGGATCTTGTGACCAAAGCTTCATGAGAGGTAGCGAGCAGTGAGTGGCGAGGGCGGCTGGACCCGCAGGGCCTGGCAGCCACGTGCTGGACGCTGGTGTTCGTCCTAACAGCAGCGGGCATCCACTCAGGGGTCTGAAGCCTGGAGGGACCGGAACGCCTTATGCTGAATGATCAGCCATGTGCAGGACAGGCTGAAGGGGACCTTGCTCTTCTGAGACACAGCACCCTGCTCTCTGGACTGGGCACAAGGCGTAAGGCACACTCTGCTTCAGGTGTATCTGCCTTCCCATCTGCCCCTGCCTTCCCTCTTCTCCAGACAGCAGCTGCCCCTGCAAATGCTCCTTCTCACCCAACTCACACCCGCGGAGCCAAGGACAGGAAAGCTACGTGAAATACTTGCAGAATGAAACTCTCCCACGCGGTCCAAAGCGTAACAGTTCACCCACCCAGCAGCTTCTGGTTGCATCTTACAGCCCCCACCCCAAGCCCTGACTCCTACCCATGGCCACCTTTTGGGAGTCAGGAGATAAGCACATGCTAAAAAAGTGTTTTGTAGCCCTGGCCGGTTTGGCTCAGCGGTTAGAGCGTCGGCCTGCGGTCCAGAGAGACCTGGGTTCGGTTCCCGCTGAGGGCACGTACCTCGATTGCAGTTTGTCCCTGGCCCTGGTTGGTCGTGTGGGTGGCAGCCACTCGATGTGTCCCTTTCACATCGATGTTTCTCTCTCTTTCTTTCTCTCCCTCCCACTCTATCTGAACAAAAAATGGAAAAATGTCCTCAGGTGAGGATAAGGGAAAAAAAAGAAAAAAAAAAAGTGTTTTGTAAACCACACAGAGCATTCTAGTTATCAGACAGAGCTGGCCTTTGGTTCCCATTTTACAGATGAGGAAACTGAGATCAGAGAGGTTAAAAAACTTGCCAGAAGTGGACAGCAGTGGTGAGATTCAAGTAATAACAGCACTAGCTTCCCAGGCACTGTGGTAAGCGCCTTGCCTACATTAAGCACCTTCCCTGACACTATGATGTGTGTTGTAACCTCCCGTTTACAAATGGGGAAACTGAGACTCAGAGCGGTAACACGACCAAGGTCACATAGCAAGTAAGCTCAGGAGCTGGATTCAGCTCGGGTCTATCTGCACCGAGGGCTGGCTAACTCACTGAGGGCAGGCTGGTTTAATTTCAAAAGACTCTAGTGATGAAAACAATCCCTCTAGTGCCAGAGAAAACCAAGGGAGGTCAACAGGCACTGCCCTCAGGAACCGGCGCCCAAGTGCCCAGGGCAGGGCCCAGCTCCAGCTAGTTACTATTTCAATTTAAGACATTTGAGATGCAAGAAAAGTTGCCCCACCACAGGCAGGGAGCCTGGCCTTTCAATTCACTCTGTTTTCTGGAGATCAAAATCCGGGTGTTCCTGATACCTGAAACCTCAGGATTTTCAAGGGCCAGCCACTGGCCAGAGAGAGCAGGTCAGGGAGAGAAAAACATGCGTGAGTCCCACTGCCTCCGGAGCAGCCTTGGAACAGGCTCGCATTCTGACGGTCCCTCCACCTCTGGGGATCTCTCCTACAAGAACCGCTTCGGACAGACGTACCAGCCCTGGGAGGAAGGGCAGACGCGCGCACAGGTACACTCGGAAGTCCACGGCAGCGCCATTCATGCCAGGAAAATAATAGGGGGAGACGGAAACTAAATGCCCAACAGTACATCATGGTACTTCCTAGGAAAGACATCTCTGCTAAATGGAGCAGGTGGGGAGGTAACACTTAAACGGGCACATGTAACTAAGAAGCATTAAATTATACCCCAATACAGTGGGTTTTATTTAAAAATAAAAATTTTTAATTAAGGAAAAAAAACTAAAATAGGTACAAATCTTTAGGTTTCAGGAGCTTATTAGAACCTCAAGACACTGCAAATGACCTAAATGCCCAGGGGCCATGGCGGCCCATTTACTCCATGGATGTTATAGAAGCGGGAAAGGTGAAAGTCTCTGGGCTGCAGAGCAACCTGGGCCCACTGAGGCTGCCACCCCGCCCCCACCCACCACGTGCACTAAAGGGAAAGGCAGCAAAGGAAAAGCACCAGAGCACCACCGGCCTCAGCACTGGCCGGGTTCTCGGAACAGAGAACTCAGAACTTAGGAAGCCCCGGGTCTTAGAATCTTTCAGCTGCAATTGCTTGGCATTCAACCAGGCCAGCCTCTCGCTAATGCAGAATCACCAGTAAGGCAGCTGCCTATCCCCAGCTGCTTGCACACTGTCAATGACAAGAAGCTCACTACCTCCCAAGGCAAACTAGACAGCTCTGGAGCTGGGCACAGTTTGGCGTGGTGGAAACAGGCTGTCGCTGGGTCATTCAGTCTCCTGGTTGTCACTAGACCCAGGGACATAGGTTCTTAGAACCATTCCTGGGGCACTGGGTGGGTGGAATGGGCAGCCGAGGGCTGCGGGCACAGTCTAAAGCTGTTTTGTTTAAAACCACGTTGCCTTCCACTTCTGGGTATTACTCAAAGAACTGAAAGCGGTACTCGGACAGATATCCATACGCCCACGTTCATGGCAGCATTATGCACTATAGCCAAAAGGTGGAAGCAACCCAAGTGGCCATCAACCACTGAATGTGGTAGATACATACAATGGAATATTATTCAGCCTTTAAAAGGAACAAAATACTCATACATGTTACAACATGAATGAACCTTGAGGACATTATGCTAAGTCAAGTAAACCAATCACAAAAATATAAGTACCATATGATTCTACTTATATGAGGTACCTAGAGAAGTCAGATTCCTAGAGATAGAAAGTAGAATGGGGTGGGGGAGGGGAGTCTTTATTTAATGGCTAAGGAGTTTCAGTTTGGGGGGAGACGAGAAAGTCTGGAGTTGGGTGGTGGTGACGGCTGCACAACAATGTGAATGTACTTAATGCCACTGAACTGGACACTTAAAATGGTTAAAATGGTAAACTTCATGTTATGCATGTTTTACCATTGCAAAAACAGGAGGGGCAGAGAGTTTCAGGAAGGGTATTCCCACAAAGGGAATAACGCACGCAGAGCTGAGAGGAACGCTGTATTTTCAGGGTAGCTGGGCAACAAGAGAAGCTAGGACGGCGACGGAAGTGACGGCCAAGGTCCCTGCAGGCTGTGCCCAGGAGTCTGGATTTTATCCTGAAGGCAAGGGGGAACCATTGCTAAAGAAGAGATTCAACATCAGATTTGCATTTTAGAAATGTCTCTTGGCCACAGAATGAAAGACAGATCAAGGGAGTGAAGTACGGTATCTTCAGGAACAGTGGGGAGAGTCAGGGGTTGTTTTCAGTAATTCAGAGAACTGATACCAAGGAAAAGTCAGATTCTGGAATTCTCGCTGTGTGCTTCAGCCAATCTTTATTCCTGCTGACAATATCACTCACTGAAATTGATATCATTGGGGTTGTATTTGTTAGATAGCCATTGATATAGACCACGTTTCCTAAAATAAATTACAAGCTCCTTGAAGACTAGAAAAAAGTTAAATAATACATTTTATGTTTCATCTATCTTGCCATAATGAAACAAAACCTGGTCCCAGCAAGGTGGGATGCACTTTGGAGGCTTTGTGATCAACTCCATAACTGGCTGAGCCAGCCTAGAACAAGATAAAACTTAGGGAGAAGAGGTCAGCCCCAAACTACTCAAGCACAGTTACTTCCCCCATGCAGTGCTAAGAACAGAGGGCCTATAGTCTTGGCTCTGCCACCAACAGGACCTTAGACAAGTCTCTTTTCCCCTCCATCAAACTCAGTTTTTTCATGCATAAAATGGGCTCCTGAGCAGGACAGAAAAGTGGCTCAGAGCCCAGGCTGTGCAGTCAGACAGCCCTGGGTTCTACCGGCCTCCCCACTTCCTTGAATGTGGTCTACAGCAAGTTGCCACTCTGGGGTGTTTACAGAGTGGCCACTGCATGCCAGCTTCACGCTAAAGATGTGGGCACGTTTATCTCAGTCCCATTTAATCCTCACAACATGCTGAGAGACGGGTACCATTGTCCTCTCCACTCTACAGACAAGGAGAGGGGGGAAGTGACTACCCACGGTCCTGCAGCTGAGAAGAGGCCAAGCCAGATCTGAGTCCAACCAGCCTGACCCAAAGGCCTCTCACATCCCCTCGCACATAGAAGGCGCTCCCTAAATACATATTTGCTCACCATCTATCTTACCGTGTGCTGGCTTGCCTGGCGATTCCCACCCCTGTGGGCCCATCCCACCTCCTCCAGGCCAGGACTCATGTGCAGCCCAGTACAAATGCTGGCCGAGAGAGCTATAATGGGCAGGTGCAAATGCTGGGAGGCTAGAAAAGTCTTCCCCACTGACCCCGGTTCCCTGCTAAGGATGCCTGAAAACGCCCTATTGGAACTTCGCTCCTGTGGGGCAATTCTCCATTGAAACAGGTTGTTATTGGTGTCCAGTAGCAACCAACTGCACCATCTAATACAGTGTGGCAGAATAAACATAACATAAAATTTACTATTTTAACTTTATTTTGTCTTCAAGGAACTAGTAGTTTATTTTGAGAAACATGATATAGGTCTGGCCAATGTGGCTCAGTAGATTGAACATCATCCCATGGACTGAGAGGTCCCAGTTCAATTTCCGGTCAGGGCACATGACCGGGTTGCTTGCAGGCTCAATCCCCAGTGTGTGTGTGGGGGCGGGGGGGGGGGGCTTGCAGGATGGGGCCTATCGATGTTTCCTCTCTCTCTAAAAAATAAATCAATAAAAAACAAAATTTTAGCCCTGGCAGTTTGACTCAGCGGTTAGAGCCTTGGCCTGCGGTCCAGAGAGACCCAGGTTTGGTTCCTGCTAAGGGCACGTACCTCGGTTGCAGTTTGTCCCTGGCCCTGGTTGGGTCGTGCGGGTGACAGCCACTCGATGTGTCCCTTTCACGTCGATGTTTCTCTCTCTCTCTCTCCCTCTCCCTCTCTCTTCCTCCCACCCTATCTGAACAAAAAGTAGAAAAATGTCCTCAGGTGAGGATTTAAAAAACAAATGTTTTTAAAAAGAAACATGATATATATTAAAGTGGATATCTAACAAATACAACCCTATTGACATCAATCTCTATGAGTGGTATTGTCAGAAGAAATAAATATTGGTTAAAGCACACAATGAGAATTCCAGAATCTGATTTTTCCTTGGTAGCTCCTGGAGTTACCTTCCCTCGCTGATCCAGTTTCCCCATCTGTAGAATGGGACTGATATTAATTGCCTCACTGGGGTTATGGTGAGGATTAAATAAAGGAAGTATAGCCCTGGCCAGTTTGGCTCAGTGGTTAAAGTGTCGGCCTGCGGTACAGAGAGACCCGGGTTCGGTTCCCGCTAAGGGCACGTACTTTGGTTGCAGTTTGTCCCCGGCCCTGGTTGGTCGTGCGGGTGGCAGCCACTCGATGTGTCCCTTCACGTCGATGTTTCTCTCTCTCTCTCTCCCTTCCTCTCTCTCCCTCCCACTCTATCTGTACAAAAAATGGAAAAATATCCTCGGGTGAGGATAAAAAAAATAAAATAAAAAAAAAAATAATAAAGGAAGTATATCAAGTGCTCGCTACAGTGCTGGGCCTGTGCCACCACTGGACAGCTCTGGGCAGTGAGAGCTGTCCCTCTAGGAAGGATGGAGTAAATGGTGGCTATTGTTGGCATCATCATTTGTAAAATAGGATAACTATGGCACAGGGCTGAGGGGGAGCCAATGCAATGGCATGGGTGAGGAGTTCAGCACAGTGCCTGGCATGCTGTAGGTGCACACTAAATGTCAGAGGTCAGAGCCCCCAGGGCAGGGCACTGAAAGGAAGTCCCTTGCAGACATTCTGTACTCACTAAGTGAAACTCTCGATTCTACCCTGGGTCAGCCTTGTCCTTAGGCACTTAAGATGAGGGAAGAAGCCTGGATTACAAATCAGATTTTAATCCTCACTGCAGTTCCCCATCCTTTCACTGTGCAACCTTAGGCAAGTCAGCTACCTTCTCTGTGCTGCAGTTTCCTCATCTGTGAACTGAGTAATTGAGCTAGTCAGGTGCCTTCAGGTCTCAGCATGGTAGGATTCAGTGACTCAGAGACCAGCACTTGGCGGCAGAGGAAATTCTCCACCCACCCTTCCAAGATGATAGCCATTGGGAGAACTACCATATGCCAGTAATTGGGCGGGGCACTTCTTAATCTTCCCAACAGTATTATGAGGGAGGCAGATGGGAAGATAAAGGCACAGGAGATTGGCAGGTCTCCCCTCAACATCCCTTACCCCCAGACCAGCCCAGCCAGATGGAAATCTGGTCAGTTTTGAGGAAACTCTCCCTCCCTTCAGGAAGCAAACTCTTCCTGGTCAGAAAACCAGCCCAAACCTTGATTTCATTGAACAGGGAAGGATCTCAGGGACCAGCTCTTGATTTCTCCTGCTGCTTACGCGCGCACACACACACACACACACACACACACACACACACACACTTCACAGATGGGGAAATGGGCTCAGAGAGGACAAGAGACTGTCCAAGGACCCACTCCAGAGCCTCTCAGATATTATTCTCAAAAAATGGCTGTAAAGTAAATCTCTAAATCCCCCAGCTCCCGCCCCAACACCCCCATCTACACACACACACACACACACACACACACACACACACACACCAGGGACAAAGGAAAGCAAGTTCTGAGATTCAGCAGCCACCAGACCCCCCTCTTCCTCTCTGCTCCTCTTTGTGTGGGGCAGAGGGGGAGGGGGATGCCTGAATGAACCTCGGATTTAACCGGGGAAAAGGAAAAGGAGAAGGGGCCTCCCGGCTGGGGTCTGACTGAAGCTCCGCCCCTGTGCTGGCTGAAGCCCCAAAACAGAGGCTGGCTGACCACCCGGCCCCTCAGCCCCGGCGACCAGGTACTCCCTTCCCCCAGACAGTCTAACCTCCCTCAATTCTTGGGTCTCCTAACCCAGAGTTGGGCCCGCTGAGGAAACCCTAACAGACTTCACTCAAGGGCGTTTTAGAAAGGCAGACAGGGGCTTCCTCCCCACTCCCCATTTCGGCTCCGGGGCCCAGAGGGGAAGGGTCTGGGGCTCCTTGGAGAAGTGCCCAGGAGTTAGCCTGAGCCAGGCCGAATGAGGCAGAGACAAGGGCGCAGAGAAACACATTGGACAGACAGACAGAGGAACAGACACCGAACTGTGGACAGACAATGACAGAGAAGCCACGGACGCACAGATAGTCGGACAAACGAACGGACAGAGACATAGATCAGGCAAATACAAACGAACACACTGAGGCACACGGGCAGGAGCAGACAGACCGACGGAGAGATCGCCAGAGGGCCAGAGAAGGACCCGCCACAGAGAGACAGGGACAGGCAGGCCACACAAAGAGTCAGCGCGTCCGGGAGAGACGAGAGAAAGGCACCTCGAGGACGCCTCCAAGTTGGGCGCGGTGGGGCGGCCACGCCCACGCCCACCCGGGGCTCTGGGCCTCAGTCTCCCCGACTCCCGGGAGGAGCGCTCGGGAGGGCACTCCCCTCCCCCCGGCCCGGCGTGCACCCACCCCTCCCCCGCGGTAACCCGAGCCCCGACAACAGCTGTCTCCGTCGCCCGCCGGCCAGGGCTGGGGTGGGGGGGGGATCCAAGTGACAGGGGGCCCCAGGGTCCAGAAGACAGGGTGCGGTCCCAGAAAGACAAGTTTGGAGGAAGGAAAACGAAGGAACTGCTTGGAGGAAGAAGACAGGACAAAAGTGAGCGGGCGGCGCGCGGCGGGCGCCGGGGTGGGACTCACGCAGCTGAGCAGGGAGCAGGCGCCCAGGCAGGCCCCCATGACGGCGGCGGCGGGCGGCGCGGGGCGCGGGGCGCGGGCCGCGGGATCCGGCGGGTTTCGGGCGCCCGGGCCTGGCCCCGCCCCCGGGCCCAGCGGCCCCGCCCCGCCCCGCCCCACCTGCCAGAGCGGCTCACCGTTTTCCGGCGGCGCTGGGGCCTCCTGGGACGCACCTAGGGCAGGTGAGCCGGGCGGAACCAGTGGGGAAAGTGGGTGGAGCGGTGATTCCCGCGGCTGCGCCAGCCGCGCAACCGGACCTGACTCTGGCGGGCTAGTGTCCTGCTCCCAAGTGAGGGTTTGGAAATACTGAGACCTGGAATCGAGTTCCGACGAGGCCATAGTGTGACCTCACAACACTGTCTCCCTGCAGGGGTCAGAAGCCAAGAGGTGGTCACCAAGAGGTGGTCACCCCTGACTCCTCCGCTCTTGGCGCAGAGCCTCTGCCCAATACATAGGTGTTGAAGGATGAATGGTCGGATAAGAAACACACAAGTCACTTCACCTCTCTGCGCCTCAGTTTCCCCATCTGTTAAGTTAGGACACCTACCTCACAGGGCTGTTACAACACGTGGTAGATGCCTGACAAATGTGAGCTCCCTGTCGTCATCCCTGTTTCATCTAAGACCCTGGCCTTGCACCCTTTCAGCTGCCCTCCCCTCTATACACCTGTTCCTCAAGCTCTACTGACTCCTTGAAGCAACACGCCACACCTGCCCGCAGAGCCACCCTGTTCAGTGGCTCATCCCCCTGCAAGATGCCAAACTCTGGCCCCCAGCTAAGGAGGTCAGCAAGGGTGGCCGGGCCACATTCCTGGCAGACGTCCAGTTCCAGAGGGGCAGATGGGAGAGACCTAGAAATGGGCTCTGTAATTACTCAAGGTTCACCCTACTCCTCACTCAACCCTAGACGGATGTTAGGAAAGGAAATCTAGATGCCCACAGATGGCCCCAGGACTCAAGATCCTGCCTGACTGCATCCTTGGGTGCCTCATGGTGCCAGGCTTAGCCATGAACTGTTCCAGGACTGTCCCACAAATACTCCCTACACTTGCCCTCCATGCTTGTGCCCACACGATGTCCTTCTCTGTGAAAGATCTTTTCCCCCTTGTTCCCATTTCTGCCCTTTGAAGCCTTGCTCACATCTCATATGTTCTCCGTGAAGAGAACCCCCCTCCCCAACTTCTACCTGGCCCTGTGAGGAATGAACATTCCTCCAACTTCCCTGTGTTTCTACAACATGACGTCCTCACAAATAATGCAGTTACCACAAAACTGGAGCGTGTACCAAACTCATTCTCCTATATGATCCCATTCAAGCCCCACAATAACCCTGGAAGCAGATTCATTCCCCACCTCACCCCAATTTACAGATGAGGAAACTGAGGCTCAGTGCAGTAAAGTGGCCTGCCTGTGTGGGAACTGAGCACTGGCTAAACATTACCTGTGAGTGTGGCGGTTGTTCTTGTTGCTCAAGGTCACACAGCTCAGAAGGACGGAGCTAGAAGACCACCGGACCCAGCCTTGATCTCAGACCAAAAGCTTGTCCCTGACACCTCAGTCTGTCTTGGAAAGAGAAGGTGACAATATCCAGCCCACCTCTGTTTTTTGTCCAATAATATGTTCAATCCTTCCCTAGTCTGAGGCCCTTAGGAGGCCTGGAGCTGCCCAGGGACTGTACTATTCACCTCTCTCACTAAGGCAGTAAATGCTGAATGGATGAATGTCTGACCTTTTGCCACAAGCCCAGTTTCCTCTTCCCACTGTCACTGACTGACCCAAAACAGCCCATACAAGGTCCCCTCCCACCCGGCAGTCTTCTGTGCCTGGAATGCCACCAAGCAGCCTCTCACCTTCTCACAGCTCCCCCACCCCTACCCCAGAGTCAGCTCTTTTTGATACTTCTGCCCCATTCCTCAACCCCGCCCTTCCCACTAGCCGGTCCAGTAGAAAGCACCCAAGACCAAGCAGAGCAACACCTGAGACTCTTGTTTTCACAGCCTCTCACACCCTCTGCCATCCTGGGGCCATTCACCTCTCTGTGTCTCCATCCCCTCCCCTGAAATGGGGATGGTTACCCTGCTTCACCTCACAGAGTAGTTGTGAGCATTGAGAAAGCGTTCGAAGAAACAGGCAGTCATCTGAAAGGAGTCAGGAAGTACCTGGGCTGCAAGTGTAAAGAAGACAACCCCCACCCGGCCGCTATGGCTCAGTGGTTGAGAGTCGACCCATGCAGCAAGAGGTCACCGGTTCGATTCCTGGTCAGGGCACATGCCCAGGTTGTGAGCTAAATCCCCAGTGTGTGGCATGCAGGCGGCGGCCAATCAATGTTCTCTCTCATTAGTGTTTCGATCTCTCTCTCCCTCTCCCTTCCTCTCTCTCTAAAATCAAAAAAGAAGAAGAAGAAGACAACCCCCTCTGGTTTTCTATTGAAATTTTCCAGAACAGGGTGATGTATTGCCATTGTCCTGGCCTCACCCTGCCCAAGACCAAGGCAATGTAGGCTCTCACAGCGCCCCTGTGTCACCCTACATGGAGGGGCCAACCAGCTCTGCATATACTCACTGTGTGGTCTTCTCCTGGTGACTCATCCTCTCTCAGCCTCATGCTTCTCATCTGTAAAATGGAGATAATTGTTTTTGCTCTGGGTATCTCAGGGGACTTTTTGTTTTTTTTTGTGGTACATGCCCCTAGTGGGAACGGAACCCGGGACTCTGCTCCACAGGCTGACGCTCAACCACTGAGTCAAACTGGCCAGGGCTCAGGGGACTTTTGAAGAGATGAAACGAGGTGGTAGATAAAGAAGCTTCATTTCTCTGGGTCCTGACCAGCCTTGAACCTCCTACAGAGGGCAGAATCACTGTCTTCCACACCTCCAAAAGCAAGATCACAGTCAGTAACTGTGTTCTTGGAAAGTTACCCAACCTCTCTGAGCCTCGCTGAGGGTTGAGACTCAGGACTACCGCAACTCTTCCAGCCATGCAAACTATGTCCATTGAGAGAAACATGCAGGGGTCACTTGGTCCATCCCCCTGTGCCCATCACCCAGCCTAGACAGATGCTCAGCTCTCCAGGACCAAAGGGAGCGGCTCTGGCTTTTTGGGCCAGTCACTCCAAGGGTTCTTTAATCTGCTCTCATTGGGCCCCAGTTTTCAAATCTGCAATATAGGTACGGTACAAGGCCCTGCTCAAGTCCCCAGTGACCCCCAGTAACCCTAACCCATTCTTGCCCCATCCCTTCTCACCATCCTCCCGTCCATGGGGACTCAGATGCACTCTGGCTTTGAGCCTCCTGTCCCCTGGGCCTCGCTCTCTGCACTGGCCTCCACTTCCTGTTTCTGATGCATTCATTAGGGCTGAAACTATCCCTAATGAATATGCATGTGGGATAATGAGGGCTTGGGATTGAGGGAGCATCTGGGAGAGGTGTTCACAGAGGCACTATTCACCCCATCTCTCCATACAGAGCCCCCCACCAAGGCTGCCCTCCCTCCCAAAGGGTGCATGGGAGTTTGGAGCAAAGATAATAAGAATATCCACAGCAACCATGTTTAAGTGCTTACAGCATGCCGGGCATCCTGCTAAGGGCATCTCCTGTAAAGTGCTTTTAAGATGGAAACTATTTTCCCTATTGAACAGTTAAGAAAACTGATGCTCCAAGAAGTGAAGTGTCCTTTCCTCTCTCTCTAAAATCAATAAAGAAAAAAAAATTTTTTTTAAAGAGTCACTTTCGCCTGGTCAAGGGCACATACCTTGGTTGCGGTTGGTCCCCAGCCCTGGTCAGGGTTGTGCAGGAGACAACCAGTCGATGTGTCCTTCTCACATCAATGTTTCTCTCTCTCTCTCTCTCTCTCTCCCTCTCTCTCTCTCTCTCTCTCCTTCCTCTATCTGAAGATAAATAGAAAAATATCCTTGGGTGAGGATTAAAAAAAAAAAAAGCTAATGTTTAAAATAAAAACATGTAAAAATACCACAATTGTGACATTTCTTCATTTTTAACTACCGGGAGCCTCAAAAAACAGAACTGCCTTGGGCCTCTTGGGCCTAGAGAGTCCCTACTGTGTGAGGTATGCGTGTGGGTGTGCACATATGTGCACATGTAGAGATGTGTGTACATGTGGGTGGGTGAGGCTGACACCCATGTGTTAGCTCACCCCAGGAGCTCGGCCTCCAAGCCCCCATGTGGCCAGCACCACTCCTGGAATCAGACGACATCTCAGGGCTGAGGAAGGGCAGCCACTAGCCTCAGGGCCACCTTGGGGACCAAGAACTCTGTTATCTGAGGCTTGGACACGCTCAGGCCAAGCGGCGTCCCTGGGCCAGCAGCGGGCGTGTAGGCGGCTGAAACGGAGGTGTTTCCTGGAAGAAGGTGAGGCGAAGGCAGGGTGCCCAGAGCCCTCCTGCAGCCCTCGGCTCCGCCCCCCCATACACGCATTCCCACCTGTGTGGCCATTCCTCTCCCCTGCCCAGTGCCTGCAGGCCCGAGCTGTCAGCAACCCCTCATGGCACAGAAGGGCAAACTGAGGCCTAGCAAGAATGGGGCTGCCCAAGCCACAAGCAAGTCGGCAGCAGAGTGAGCACTGAGATCCAGCCCGGGTCCTAGTCTCTGTCCCCACTGCCTGCCACCTCTGCACCTCCTCCCATCAGTCACTGCAGGAAGGGTCCGGGCCCAGCAGACGGGGTAGGTGAAGCCCAGACTGCCCGCCTGCATGTGGGTTACACACATGCTGCGGGAGGCCACGTGGGCACCAGCAATGTCCCATGGCTGGGAGGCAGGACCTGGCTTCTAATCCCAGCTCTGCCCTGGACCCTGTCAGAGAGACCCTGGATAGCTCCCTGCCCGTCTCAGGGCCTCAGTTTCTCCATCTATGAAAATATATGAGGTGAACTACAGCTGTGGCTTCCACAAGATGTTTTGAAGCAGGACCCCCAAGCGACTACAAGGGTTGCTGCCCTGGTCGGCGCAGAAGCGGCAGGTAATCTCTGTCCACTCAGCCGCTCATCTGCCTCCACCAAGAAGCTCCGTGAAGAGACTCCACCCACTCACAGACCAGTGGGTAAGCACGGGCGTCAGCGCAGAGCCAGGGCCCAGGTCCGGCTGCGTGGCCCCAGGCAAGGCTCTCCAATCCTCAGTATACTCTCCTGTAAAATG